GTGGTGTGCACACCTTTAACCCTAGTACTTGGGAGGCAGAAGCAGGTGTGTCTTGTAAGTTCTGAGCCAGCTTGGTCTACATATCAAGTTCCAAACCATCAAGAACAGCGTCGTGAGACCCTGACTCAACTCCCCAAAAGTGCTGAAGATGTAGTTGAGTGGTAAGGTGATTGCCTAGCACATATGAGACCCTGAGTTCTAGTCCTAGAACTCACACCAAAAACCATGAAAGGCCACCCCCATCCCAGTCTGGTGTGGTGGCACCACTAGGAAAGTGTGTGCCAGCACTTGGGAGGTGGAAGCAGCAGGATCAGTAATGCACAGTTATCCTCAGCTCCATAGCTTAAGGCCAGCCTGAGTACAGGAACTATTGTCTGAAAACATAAGACAAAAAATTAAAATCCCTTCCCTGTGGATGGGCTATATGTATACATACACACCTATCTCCTTAAAGCCTTTTGTGCTCTTTTCTAGCCTAGATCATCTTGACTTCCCCCCTCCCCCACCCCCCGAGTTATCTCTGAGCACAGTTGCAACTAGTCATCAGTTCTTCCTCCCCTGCACACCCCACTTTCCCCAGTCACCAGCATGTCTGCACTCCTAGCCTGGAAGTAGATTTTACTGTGCTAAGTCCCCCAGCTACCCTCATGTTCATTGAGGATAGTCATTCAGAAGTAACATGGTTAAGTGGAAAGGTCATGGGCTTGGGGGTGGGAAGAGCCAGTATCTAAGGCTCAGACTGCCCGCTGATTGGTTAGACCTCACTAGACAGGTCACCCCTATGGTGAAGCTCATCTTCTCATTGTGAAGTGCAATAATAACATCATATGCAGTGAGTTCATGTGACAGTGTTGGTCACAGTGCTGAGAACATAGTAGGTGATCATGAATAGTTCTCCCTCTGTATTTCCTGACCAAAGCTGTGCATACAGAAGGTGCCTATAAATAATGCAAAATAATGCAGAGGTTCCGGGTGGTGGTAGCACATGCCTTTAATCCCAGCACTCAGGAGGCAGAGGCAGGTGGATCTCTGTGAGTTCCAGGCCAGCCTAGTCTATGGAGTGAGTCCAGGACAGGCTCCAGAGCTACAGGGAAACCCTAAATGAAATGAAATGATGATGATGATGATGATGATGCAGAGACTTGCAGGAGTGTGTGACCCAGACACAAGTGCCACAGCATGTGTGTGAAGTCCAGGACTTGGTGGTGCCCATGGCTCAGAAGCCCAAACCACAGCCCTAGACTGCTGCTACCAGAGTCCAAACATACGGAGCTGTGTTCCACAGCTGTCTAATTTGGGACAGGGGATTTGGGTTTTTAGTTGAGGATCAGGTTGTCAGGAGGCCTCTTTCAGAGCCTCGTGCAAAAGAGGAAAGGCAAAGTTTGCAGTGAGCTCTCTGCAGGACTGTAGTGGGCCCGCCCTGTGTGCCTATGTGAGGACCTACTAGCCTACCATGGGAAGTGTCAGCATGGACCACACACCTCGAACAGCAGAAGCAGAATGCCACAGATGGGCTGGGCTCTACAATGTCACCTCTGGTTAAACACAAGTCCTGGGCATTTCTGTCAGTACTTTCTCCGTTTTTTTTGCTTGTTCTTTCTGTCAACACTACATATGATGTACATGGTTTTTTCGAATTATTTCTTGTTATTTATATAGTACCAGATGGTATTCAATCCAGTTCACCCCACATCTAAACAGAGAGCACAGAAGGAAAAATCTCATTATAAAAGGGTAACTTTAAAATGCTCAATGCCAGAATCAAACTGAAAGTGCTGGAACTCCCCTCCCCCCCCCCCCGTGCTCATTCTAGCACAAACACCATTTGTGCCCTTTGCTGAGAGACTTGCCTGACAGCTGCATGCACCCACCAGCTCCTCCCAGGAACAGTGGGCTTACCTTGAACCAGCCCAGAAAAGTGGAGGTGCTTTTCTCTTTCTCACAAGTGTCTTGCAAGCATATTGTGTAGTACTTGGGCTTTAGATAAGCCTGCCTGTCTCAGTGGTGTCATCTGAGTTTCCTGTTCTGTAAGACTGTCAGAACTAAATGACGTCACACAACTAGTAAGTGAAATAACTCGAGGTGAAGCATCACCCATAGAGGACATCACATACACACATAGCCGTTAGGCTTCTTGTACTGCTGCCTTGTTTGTTTCTTGTTTGTCTTTGGGGACACGGTCTTGATGTGTAAACTTGGGTACCCCACTTGGAAGACAGAGGCAGATCTCTGAGTTCCAGGCCAGTCTGCCCTACATGGTAAGATCCCCCCCCCAACCCTCCAGTAAATAAACAACACCCTAAGCTCATAATCATCTGCGGTAGCTGAGGACAGGCAAGTAAAAAGCAGATGTTGTGCAACTGGGAAAGTAAAAACAAGCAGATCCTTGAGACTTGGTGGCCAACTACCCTGACTAATGGGAGACCTGTTTCAAAACAAGATAGACTCCTGAGAAACAGTACCCAGGGTTGACCTCTGCCTCACTCACACATGCACACATGCATACACACATGGAATAAGAACAATGTCAGTTTTAATTGTTTCCCAGCACTTTAAATTATTTTATTCATTGAGCTAACTAAAGTTTAAACTCATGAATGCTTGCTAATACTTCTTTCAGTTTGGCCGTACATGGCTAAAAGTTAAAGCAGATGGGATCTTTTCACATATGTGACACATGTGAACATCAGTGTGATATCCATACAGCTAACTAGCAAGAACTTGAATCAACCACGTAGCCACAATCTGCCTTGCACCAGACTTGCTTTACAACCAGTGACAGAACATGTTACCACTTCTCTTTAAGGCTGTCTTCTGTGAGTGGGGAGCTGTCATCTTTAAATCCTTGTTTATAAACGGCATTGAGATCTTGAACTATCCAGTGCTGCCAACTTGGAAGGCATTGTCATTTGTATGTTGATTGGAGGTGGGACATGAAGCTCTGCCCAGTCCCCCATGTTTGTTCCCTATGTTTGCCCTTGCCTGGGTCACTGTGTTCCAAGCCTTTAGGGAGAGGAATGTGAAGGGTGGACCTAACACCTGTCAGTTTGGGCCTCACCCTATTAGTTCACTGGGAATCAGTCAGGGTGCTCATTGTTTGGAAGGATCAGATCTTTAAAATAGGATGCAAGAAATGCCTCTCAAATAAGGTAACAGATAATGAGGAAAACATTACACATAGCTCACTGTACAGGCAACTTCTGTTGGAGCTTTAACTGTTTCTCCATTGTTTCTATTTTTTCCCCAGGTAATTTTGGTTTGGTGTTGTTTTGTTTTTTAACTTGTTGCTCTTGCAGACAACCTAGGTTCATGTCTATAGAAATGTTTTCTTGCCAGAAACATGAAGGCCTTAGGGCTGCTGACCTCCCCTCTGAATGGAGCTTAAGGGTTGTGTTTGGCTTAAGAGGGTTTGAGCAGGCAGCCCTGTAAGGCTGTGTGAGGCCAGCCCAGCAGGGCACCTCCAAGACAGGGTCAGGAATGAGTACTTGCCAGGTGACATAAGCGGAGAGCCCCCAGCCCTCCTGTGTACCCTCAAAGACAAAGTCACTACATTGTTAATTCCAGGGCACACCCTGCTTCTCCCGTGGAGCAAGCTTGAGCTCCATTTGATTTGTTTGTGGTTTTTGTTTTGTTTTGCTTTTGTTTTTATTTTATTATATTTTATTTTTGTTTGAAACAGTCTCTTTGTAGTCCTCTGGCTATCCTGGAACTCACTATGAAGACCAGGCTGATCTCCGATTCTTAGAGATCCCTCTGCCTCTGTCTTCCGGGTGCCGAGATTAAAAGTGTGTGCCACCACTGTCAGCCTCATTTTTGCTCTTTTTCTTTTCTTTCTTTTCTTTTTTTTTTTTTTTCTAGTGTGTGTGTGTATGTGTGTGTGGAGGGGGTGTCGAGACAGGGCTTCTTTGTGTAACAGTCCTGGGCTGTCCTAGAACTCATTCTGTAGACCAGGCTGGCCTTGAACTCACAACAGATCCATCTGCTTCCCAAGTGCTATGATTAAAGGCATGAGCTACTACTGCTTGGCTTATTTTTGTTGTTCTTAACCAGTCGAAGATCACATAAACCATGCTGTGAAAATGCACAGTGTATTTGTGTGTGTTGGGGGTGAAGGGGTGGTTATAGCTAGGTGTAGTGGCTCATACCTACCATCCTAGCACTCAGGACATTGAGACAGGAAGCTTGCCGTAAGTTTAAGGCCAACCTGAGCTACAGAGTTCCAGGCCAGTTTGGACTGCAATGTAAGATCCTTTCTCAAGAAACCAATAAATAACAATAATAAAATCCCAAATTCTTCACCGTTTACTTGAAAAGGGTTGTGTGTAAGTTAATTCTCTTCTAGTTTTTCCTGGGTTTCACCACATTTAGCCCAGCTGCTAAATTTCTCCAATATCTCAAGCTACAACTACCTGAAAGTAGACATCCCTCCCCTATTCTTCAGTCCCTGGTGGTAGTGTCCCTCTGTGGCAGTGATTCTCAACCTTCCTAATGCTGTGACCCTCTAATACCTCATGTTGTGATCCTTCAATGATAAAACTATTTTTGTTACTACTTTATAACTATAACTTTGGTGCTATATTGAATCATAATGTAAATATCTGATATATGACCCCTGTGAAAGGGTTGTTCAACCCCAAAGGGGTCGTGACCCACAAGTTAAGGACCACTGCTCTACAGTAGACAGAGTCTCATTCCTCTGCCTAGTGATATGTTGAGCATCCCTTACAAGGTGTTTGCTTGGGTGGGAAGGCTGCTGGAAGCCTTAGGTGGAACAGTAGAATAAAGGAACAGAGCCTACACTCTGTGCCACTGGTGAGGTGGCATCTTGCTTACACTCAAAAACAGCCTCAGTGTCACAGAACTGGTATGTCAGCAGAGGCCAGTCCCTGTGGAACCAAGTAATGACCTAATTTCTGTCCCCCACACCCCTTCCCCAGTAACAGGTATCACTGTTCCCTGTAGGAGCTCTAAAACCTGGTCCTGTCCTGTCTCTGTTTCAGATGCCATGGCAGAATGTGGAGCATGTTGGTGACCAGAGCCCTTATGTCACTTCCGTTATTCTTCACATTAAGCAGAATGTCCCCATCATCCGTGACAACCTGGCTTCCACACGAAAATACTTTACACAGTTCTGCATTAAATTTGCAAAGTAAGTCTTGAGTTGTTTCTCGATACACTTTCTGTTTTTATTTCCCAGGATAAATGAGCAGGAGATGCCCATGTACCCTCACAAGAATTGTGCCGTTCATGAACCACACTGATGGCTCTCCGGGCGTATCTCTCTGAGTTGGGAGAGATTTGTGCTGGTTCTGGTATCATACTCAGTGGAGTTATTTTACTGCTGTGTTTAACCACCCAGCATGCTCACAGTCCAGGTGTCCCTTCTTCTAGCTGGGCTCCTTCTGGAACCTCCAGGAAAACCAGTATTTTTCTGTACTCCAAAGGGCCATAGCATTGAAAGCAAACAGGCCGGCCACTTCAGGCCATGTTCATGCTTGCAGCAGCAATCAGCAGCTGCAGCAAACAGGGACAGTTTGGGGCATCTTGCTGTTCTGAATTTTGTACGTGAAACCACTCCTTGCTCGGTTTTTTTATTTTTCTGTAAGTTCATATGAACATTTTATCTCTGACTAGATTATAAACTTCTCAAAAGTTGAACCCTTAAGTTGTGTCTTTGAGCCTTTACTTCTCCTCCTCCATAGGACTTGTTATTGTAGCTGCCAGAAATCACCTACTTGTGGATATCTTTACATCCAGGCAAAGTTCTAGAAATTAGGATCAGCAAGTTGTCAAGCTCCAGTGCAGAGTGGGTGGAGCAAACACCAAGTTGCCTGCCTTCTGGTCATGTCCTTGTGTGTGGCCATTTCTGCCTTGAATTTTGAAGCAAAGTAGTTTGGTTCTTTGCCAGTCTACATCTGGCTCCAGCACTGTTTCCCAAGAGCCCAGTCAGTGATGAGGGCCAGTGTCTCCTCTGACCAATTATCAGATGCACAGTTTGGCAAGTTGCTCCAGGAAGGTCAGTGCTGTCCAAGCTACCGTATTTGGATTGTTCTCATCCAGGTCCCAACTGGTGACTCAGGCATCTGAGTTTCTCTTTCCCCCAGATCTCTCCCGATTTGTATTCAATTAGAGTCTCCTCATCTGACAAAAATAAACCCCAAGGAACAACAATGACAGAGTAGCTGTAGAGTTAACTTTAGTTTCAACCTCATCAGGAAGGCTTGGGCTGACTCCCCAGGGAGCATTTATGTTTGCAGGCCACAGATGGACCAGGAGCTGACATTCCCTTCTCTCTCTGGGTGCTCATTAATGTACACTAGCAACACTGCTGATAAATCACATGTGACATTCCCTGCAACCACTGCTACAAGTGTCTCTGTAAAAATCTACTGTGACTTAAAATCTTCATTGTGGGCACCCAGGGGTCCGATTGAGCTAAGGTTAACGTGAATAAGGAGTCCATTGCTCAGCCCATCCAAGTGTAAACCTCACATTCTCTCATCGCCTTTTAATTTTATTACTAAGTTCATTCTGAGTGATCTGGGAATAGGGTGCCCAGCCTCCACATCTGGATAAATTTAACTGAAGACCTAGAAAGTTTTGTGCTTTAACTCTTGATACCCTCCCACCCTTATAAAACCTCAGCCCAGAGCAGTAGCCACCGTTTCCATCTTGCTGGCAATGACACATTACATTGCTGGGATTTATTCTCCAAAGATGTGTGTCTGGATTATTCCATGTTTCTCCTGTTCACCCAACATGGACTAGTCAGGGCAAGGTCAAGGGCACAGCCACAACATCCTCCAGTGTGAAGTAGCTTCCATTACAACATGGACTAGTCAGGGCAAGGTCAAGGGCACAGCCACAACATCCTCCAGTGTGAAGTCGCTTCCATTACAAGCTGTATGTGCAGGTGTGATGAGTCCCAAGTTTAGCCTTACTTGTTTGGCTCAGGTTAAGTGCCAAGAACCCCTTCCAGACAGTGTCTTGTTCACACTCCCTCTGGATTAGTAGGCACTCCTGTATGTGACCTCTGGACTTTAGGTCCTCTTCCATTGCTTCCTTCCCCGCTCCACAATTGCTGGTCCATCTGGCTGCATTGCCTCCAACAGCATCCTTTCCTAATGACTTACCAGTGTCTCTCCCGGTTGAAACTGAATTTTGGATCACAGATGTCTTCTCTCACCCACTAAACTAGTACATCTTGATTCCATGAAATTGTCCCAGAAGTCCTTAGCTATCAATGTGATTACAGTGTGCAGGAGAAGATGTGGCAAGACTGAAGGAGAAGGACACAGACCTGGATGAAGCATGGAAGGAGGAGGAGACAGTGACAGGCAGCCTTTAGAAACCCTGCCCTCCTGCATGGAATGTGCACATGTGTTTGCATGCACAGACACTAAAATAAACATATATAAACCCTTCTTTAAAACAAGCAATTGCTTTGAGGTTTCAGTGGTTTCATGAAGACCTGGATATTCTATCTTTGAGACTGGCCCCATCCTCAGAATATGGTAGAATGACAGGTGTAGGTATTTTATCTAACTCAACAGTGCCCTCAGCAGGAAGAGGGAGTCTCACAGCAGCCTTGCCCTGAGGTCCTCCCCTCCAGGTGATTAGACTGGTATGGAGTAATTACCCCCTCTTAGGACCTCAGACAGTCCCCAGTGGAACTGGCTGAACTCAGTAGTATTGGCCTCTGTAGGACTGGAGTATAGCTCAGTGGTAGGATTCTTGAGACCTGGGTCATCCCCAGCACCACAAACAAAAATAATTCACCTCTCTAGCTTCAGATGGGGTGAACTTTCCCAAGAATCCCAAGACTGCTCTTCCCAACCAAAACTAAAGCTAAAATTAGAAGGAAAGAGTAGGCGGTGCATGGGGCATAGGGGTTGGTAGTGTCCACCTGGATTCTCAGTTTTCTCACGAAAGGGAATAGAGCCTTAAAAAGTTTCTGCTACTAGCGGCCTTCAATCCCAGCACTCGGGAGGCAGAGGCAGCCCAGTCTACAGAGCAAGTTCCAGAACTACACAGAGAAACCCTGTCTCGAAAAACCAAAAATAAATAAATAAATGAATAAAAAGTTTCTGCAGTTCTTTACTTCAAGGAGAACAAGTATAACTTGTCACTTTTATGTCAACAGCTCATTCATCCCCAAATTCATCACCCACCTCTTCAAGTGCAAGCCAATCAGCATGGTGGGAGCAGAGCAGGTAAGGTGAGCTTTGTTACGCGTGTCCCTCACCTCCAGCCCTTGTCATGGATCCAACACATGGGCTCGGGTAGATACAGTCTGAAGAGACCGTGACTGGCCACTCTTTGCTTCCTTGTTTTGATTTTGAGATAGGTTCTCATATTGTAGCCCAGACGGGACTCAGCTCAAGTAGATAATCACAACCTCAGTCAAGTGTGCAGAAGGTCACAAAACAAAGTTAGGGGAAACTGTCGTAGGGGCATGAGAGTGAAGGCTCCAGATTTCCAGGAGGCACAAGGGGCAGTGTTCTAAGTCCAGTAGAGGCTCTGAGTGTGGCTGGACAGAGGCCACCTGAGGGGCCCAGCATGGGGAGCCTGAACTCACCTTCCCAGGAAGTTCCTGTGATGTGATGTGATGTGCTCATCTCTCCTCTGCTGAATTCTCTGCTGGAGCGTAATGGCACATGCCTGTAATTCCAGCACTTAGGAGGCTTAAACAGTAGCATTTTGAAGTCAAGGCCAATGTACAATATATAACAAGACCCCATCCTAAGGAAACAAAAACTTAGTTCATGCCACCTGAGCCCTGATGAACTGAGTTATATACTATACCAAAGTCACTTCTTTTCATCTCCCACCTAAGTTCAGGGAACACTGATTCATTTTGAAAATAAAAACAGGAACTAGAGAGATCGCTCTGTGGTACACACTGACCAAAGGAAACTTGAGAAAGCAAAGGTGTGTTTGACTTACAGGTTGCAGCTCATCACCAAGGGAAGCCGAGGCAGGAATTCATGGCAGGAACTGAGGTAGAGGCTTCCTGTCCATGGCTTGCTCAGCCTGGCTCTTATGTAACTCAGAACCACCAGTCCAGGAATGGCCCCACCCACAACAGTCTGTACCCTCTCACATCAGTCACTGCTCAAGAAAACCCCCACACACGTGCCCAAAGACAGCCTGATGGCAGTTCCTCAGTTGAGGGTCCCTAATCCCAGGTAACTCTACTCTGTGTCACATTAACAAAACATAATTAGCACACCTTGTAAGGATATGGATCTTAGTTTAATCTCTATAAAAATCACCCACATAAAATGTCAGGAATAAGGGAACAGAGATGACTCAACAGTTAAGGTCAATTCCTACTCTTGCAAAAAACTTTTGATTCTGCTCTCAGAACTCTTACTGGTCAGTTTACAACCATCTATAACTCCAGTTCCAGGGGGATCCGATGCCTTCTTCTGTCCTCCACAGGCACTGCACACTCATGGCATCCACACAGATAAGCAGATACATGCATGCGCGCGCGCGCGCACACACACACACACACACACACACACACACACACACAGGCACACACAAGATTTAATAAAAAAAAAAAAAAGTATTCATTCATCCAATCTCTGAAAATACCACTTAAGGTATAAATTATTCATAGGCTAATCAAAAGCAACTCAATGACTAAAATAGTCTTTTTTAGACCTCTATCTGTGAACACTTAGACACGTGTAAGAAGATTATGTCATTCGTTTCCATAGAACCTGCTCTCTACCATATGAGGCAATGCAGTAGAGGTTCAACTCTTTCCCAGCTCAGATCCCTGTCCTCATGGCTCCTTGATATCACTGCCCCCAGTGCCTGCTCCTCTCAAATCTAAGTGCAGTATGATTTTGTCCTCTCTGTTAACAAGTGCAGGACAGTGTGAGCACTCATGTGCTGAGCTCTGGGATGATGTGGGAGGAGGCTGAATCCTCTGCCTGCAACATTGCATCTGTTTGTAAACAAGTTACTTTGCAGGCCCTCCATTTCCTTGTCTCTAAAATAGGAATGCTTGGTGCCACCTCACCAAGTAGCTGTTAGTAGTAAACGAAACAGAGAGCCATGTGTGGTGGAACACACCAGTGATCCCAGCACTTGGGGTGCTGAAGTAGGAGGGTTGTAAATTTGAGACCAACCTGGGCTTCACAGCTAGACATTGTCTCAAAATAAAATAAAATAAAATAAAAGTAGTAAAAATCAAAGTCAGTGCCCATAAGTAAGATGCTTGTCTGGCACATAGCCAGCCCTCATTAAATACCAGCCCCTGCTCACTGTAAGCTTCCTGAGACCTGGACATGACCTTGTTTCTGTTTCATTGCTCATCTTCCCTAATACTTCTTCCACATGCAGCCCACATAAAGACTTCTAGTCAGTGCTTGCCCTCGGCTGTCTGCCTGACCGGCTCTAGCTAGAGTCAAAAATGTTGTCTTGGAAAACTCCCGGGGAGGTTGTACGACTCAGACAGCAGCTGGGCCTGACTGCAGCAGTCAGTGTTCTGAAATCCTGACCCTGGCATGTTCAGGGTACAGATCTCACTCTGTCCATCGGAAGTGGCAGAGTAATGCCCTCACACACCAGCTCCAGTTTCTTTAGTGCATGTTTACCAGGCGCTCACTCTGTTCACCTCATTACACTGTGCCATCTGAGAGGATATGGAGTGATTAAGATCTGTGTCTGGGAGCAGCCTTAGAGTTCTCAGTTACATTTCTGTCTACAGACTTGACCAAGCCCCTGGAATCCAAAGCTGACTCATGGGAACACAGTTCTGGGTTTTTGTAGCCTTGCTCAGGCCTCAAAGACTAGTACAGTGTCTAAAAGCCATTAGAGTTTTTATGTTGTCACATAAATCCTATATCATGACTGTTTTCCTCAAATGTTCTCTTTTATAAAATAATGTTAGCTGGTTGAGGGTAAGGGGATGCCTGCCACCCCAGCATTCAGGAAGCAGAGGCAGGAGGATTGTGAATTGAAGACCAGTGTGGGCTGTGTAGTAAGACCCTGTCTCAAATAACAGACTGGAACATTAACAAGGTCTAGGGTTAGCTCAGACCCCAGGCTTATATCTAAGGAACAGAATCCATTTGACCAATGTTCACATCTGCTTTTAGACGCCAGGGAAGAGCCCTAGAACTAAAGTTTACTTCTCAGACTCTGTGCAAAGAGGAGTGAGTAATAGGCTATCCATAGACCCAGCTTTGTGGAGGCTTCAAGGGGGAATGAGGGCAGTGTGGTCCTTGAATGGTACCTGTTTATAGTTCAGGTTCATGTGGATAGGGGTAGCCCTGGCATCTGAACTCTGAAATCTAAGCCATGCTGTAGCTAGAGGCCTGTTCACTTAGGCAGCAGGGTCCAAGGAATCAAGAAGTTAACAAAGGAGCTGGAGAAATGTCCCAGCAGGTGAGAGCAGTGGCTGCTTGAATAGAGGACTCAAGTTCAGTTCACAACCTCCTGATATTCTAGCTCCATGAATCTGATGAGCTCTTCTGGTCTCTGTGGGCTGACTGGCTGGCTGGCTGGTGTTCTTTCTCTCTCTCTCTCTCTCTCTCTCTCTCTCTCTCTCTCTCTCTCTCCACTCACACAGAATAATATAATAAAATCAGGTTTTAAAAGGAAATTAATAGAGAGCTGCTTATAGGTACAAACACAATCTGACAGACCCACACCCTGCCTTGAGTCATGGCACTGACCCAAGCTTTAACTAAAGCTGTAGAATTCAAAGCTACGGCTGTTCCTCATCTCAACTGTGCCTCTTCTGCCAAAAGGTGCTCGGTGCTGAGTTGAGGTTAGGCTTGAATACTGATGTGAAAAATAAAAAGGAGGCTCTTTCTGCTCTTTATTCCCATCTTGATTAGTACATACAGTGAGTTATTTATCTCAGGACCCTAGGGTCCTCTCGAGCATTTGCAAGGGCAGATGGAATTGAACCGTTCCTGTATTGTAATAAATACTCCTTGCTAGTTTGTGATTTTTCAGAGGACCTTGTGGGATTTGCAGGGTCATTAATTAGTCTTACAACTGAGGTCATCTATGACTGAACACACACAGCAGAAATAAAATCCATTTGCCTAAACTTACCCTAGAGAAAACAGCACAGTGTGCTGTTGGGAAAAGACTCACAGCCCAGTCCTTGCTATGCTGTTGTTGGCCCCTTGTTCACAAACAGTGCCTGCCTACTCTGTGCTCAGGGTTCTGTTTAAATAAGAGTACTGGCCCAGGCACTCTCCAGTGCCTTCCAGACCTTTCCTATTGCTCCAAACTTCATTTTTGTCAAGTTGCTTTTTTCCTTTGTGTATTTTCTTCCTTCATTTGTTTTGTTTGGTTTTGTTACAGTGCCCTACTGTGTAGTCCAGGCTGTCTTCAAGTTCACAAACCTTGCTGGGGGTAGGGGTGGGGCAGGCCTTAAGAGGATCTCTGAGAGATAGAGGCCAGACTGGTCTACAGAGCAAGTTCCAGGACAGCCAGGGTTATACAGAGAAACCTCATCTTGAAAAACAAAAACAAACAAAAAACTTCACAAATCTCCTGGCTCAGCCTGCTGGATGACGAGATGCCAAGCAAGCACTACCACTATGCCCAGTTTGCTTTGTGTTGTCTTTATATATTATATCAGTGGGGCAGGAAGATGGCTTAATGCTAAAGTACATGCTTCGTATATACAAGATTCTGGGTTCAATCCTTAGCACCATAAAAAAAGAATATTTCTGGATATGTACCATAGGAATATTTTTAAATTGCACATAACATAATTATCCATCTTCTAGTATACAGCTCATTGGCATTAAGTAGGGGCATTGCTGTGAAGCTGTCATGGCCGCCATTTCTGAAGCAAACCTCTGCACCCATCTAAGTGTTGCTTCCCGCTAAAGCCCCCCCCCCAGGTCACATGTTAGTGTCTGTCTCTGAATTTGACTGTTCTTTAAATATCAAATAAGTTTGCATTTGTCTTTTATGTCTGGCTTCTTTGACCTAGCCTAATGTCATCAGAAATTCCTTCCTTTTAAGGTTCAATAACTTATTATATGTGTTTAAAAATACTACATTTTTATCACATTGGCTTTTAGACTCTTCTAGTTCAAAACCATCTGGATAAAAAACGTTTAAAGCAATTGGGGGTATGCAGGGCCTTGTTGTTGTTGAGACAGGCTCTCATATGTAGCCGTGGCTAGCCTCAAACTCACAGAGATCCATCTGCTTCTGCCTCTGC